TATATATATATATATATATATACACACACACATCAATGTGAAGAAGGCGAAGGAGATGATTGTGGATCACAGTAGGAGCAAACACACCTACTCCCCTGCCCTTGAACATAAGAGGATCTGCGGTGGAAGTGGTCTCCAGCTACAAGTACTTGGGTGTGCACTTGAATGAAAACCTCTTCTGGGGTAACAACACTTCCAGGCTGATCAAGAAAGCTCATCAGAGAATCTACTTCCTCAGACGGCTGAGGCGAGCTGGTCTGGGATACTCAGTCCTCACCTCCTTCTAAAGGTGTGCAGTGGAGAGCATCCCGTGCTCCAGCATCAACGTGTAGCATGGAGGCTGCACAGCTGCAGAAAGAAAAGCTTTGCAGAGAGTGGTGAAGGCTGCACAGAAGACTGTTGGAGTCAGACTCCCCACCATCACAGACATTTACACCTCCAGATGCAGAAAGAGGGCCACCTGCATCATGAATGACCTCACACACCCAGCACACACTTTTTGCTCCGCTCCCTCAGGCAGAAGGCTGAGGAGCATTAAGTGTTGCTGATCTCATGCTGCTGATTATTTCATGTTGCTGTATTCATTAGTCCTCATCTGCTCGCACAGACTCATGTTCGTGCTGCTGTTGTTTTGGTGCATTATTTTTGTACTATTAGTACTTAGTGTATTCCTAGTCTTGTGTGTTCTTAGTTTAGTGAATGTAGTATATTCTTAGTTCATGACTGGGATCTTACTAATGTTTTTCTTCACAATTTGTATTTTTGTTGGATGTAACTGGGACCTTGTGTACATAGTTTAGTCCCACCTCATGTACCACATGTGGTGTTTATGGCAAATAAATCTCTCTGAATCTCTGAATTTAATTTTTTTTTATTCTGCAGCAGTCGGCTACCATACCAATAAATAAACTGATTCTGTGTGACAGATGAAAATCAGAAAGAGAAAGAGTAGAGATTAACTGTTTAATCTCCTGGTTATCAAATCTGTGATTGACCGGGGATTATTCGTCCTGTTTCTGCTTGCACTGGAGCAGTAAAATCCAAAGGGACAGCAGTTCAGTTGGTTCTGGTGGGACCACTTTAAGTACTGCTGTCACTGTTTCTCCACATGGCAGCACTTTTTATTGCGCCAAACAAAAAGACTGCACAAACAACTCAACCACTAACTGACCTTTGACCTTCCTGCTCTCCTTCAGTTTTTCCAAACTGAAATGATAAAATGAAAAGAAAATCTTTATTTCCCCACACTGATTAGATTGTTCCTCTGTTTGTGGAACTGTGTGAGCACGCACGTGTTTGTGAGAGTGTGTAATCTCTGTGGCGCTGCAGAAACGTGGAGAGTAACGCTTGGCCAGGGTTCATCAGGCAGCTCACAGGATTATGGCGGCTGCTGCATCTAACACTGAGGCGTGAGAGGAGAAAACGCTTGGGGGGAGGGGGGCCGAAAGGAAACACCTATGGAGGGGCATCCTCTGGCTGAAGACCAATGAGGATGAAGGGATGAATGTGCAGACTTCCTCATAAAACAAGAGTCAGAGCAGACAGAAAGAGTGTGTCTGTGCAGGATTATTTCTGTGAGTTCCAGCTGTGGATTATAGATATCCATGACGATGTCTATTCAGTCTGACTCTGTGAGCCTCCCACTGGAACATTTCTTACTTTTACCCACAAACTAAACCAACCACAAACTGCCACAGAGCTCACAGCAGCCTGGTGTCCCCCCCCCCCCCCCACACACACACACACACACACACACACACACAACACACACACAATGGTGAGGTCCTCCACATCTGCATCAACCCACAGAAAACAAAAACAGCAACAATCAGGCAGAGACTTGGCAGCAGTTTTGTTGTTCCAGCCCTCTGCTCTGTAATCCTCAGCTCTGTCCTTCAGCAGGACTATCACATGGCGCAGCCTCACACTCACCAATAACACACATGTACACAATCCACTGCCCCACTCCCACAGACGGGCTTTACTACTGTCACAGGGGGAAAAGTAGCAATCACAGCAGATGTCGCAGCAGCTCAGGACATCCACGACAATCACTTCTGTTATGACGTACACCGCCATCCGCCCTCGATTACGACAGTCACAACTCTGATGGCAGCTGCGTGTTCGGCTGCAGTTCCACTGCTGCACCTGTTACCACGAGGCAGGGCCCGGTCCAATCACCCAAACACAGGCTGCTTCTGTTTCACTGCAGACAATCAAACATGCTAACAGAAAACAAACCTTAACGTCCTCTTCTTAACCTACAGTTCAGATGAGCTTTAAGCTAATTTATGTCTTCTTTGTTGTAAACAGCTGAATGTTGGAACGGACGTTTTAGACAAAAACACTGAATTTGTTGGTAATAACTTGATTTTTCATGAGATGAAGTTTAGCTAAATATCAGGATGTTACTTCATTTTCACTCATCTATAGAAACAACATGGAGGATGGAGGAGGAAGTAAAAAATGTAAAGCTGAGCTCACCCTTCACCATAGTCTCCACTTTATAACCCTTTCAAACTGTACTGATAAAAACAAAGTATTATTTAACTTTTTGTTGTTGTTTTTTCAGAAGAGGGTGTGGGAGCTGATGTTGCGTCAAAAAAAGCCTTCAGACTGAAAATATTTGGTTGACAAAACAACTTTGCATGCCCCAAGGAGATGAAAGTTTTTAAAAAATACAATTCAAATGCACAGATTTGTTGAATTTTGATATTTTGACTAGACCTTGAATATTCAAGAATCTCTGCCCATCCTACACATTACAGTTACTTTAGCAGAAATCTCATCATATTATGGCAGGAAGTGTGCCAGGCTTCACCATGAGAGCTACTGCTAGCTGCTGCTACCACAGTTTAGTTTCGTCACAAAACAAAATTTTATATAATAAAATATATTTAGACAACTGGACTTTAATGATTTTTGAATTGGAGTTTGTTAGGACAAATTACCCATTAGTGCTTCAGATCTTTAAGAATTAAACTTTATAAACGGAGGTCGTTAAAAAAGATACCTGCAGCAGGTAAGATGTTTATTGCTCGTAATCTTTCCATAGAACTTCCCACTTCAAAACATCTGACTTATCCCTTTATTCAAGCAAACTTTGCTGCAGTAAAGGAAACTAACTAAAATACCTTTATCATGAGAAATTAAACAATATACTTGATTATTTGCATGTAAACAACTTAACTGATGTTTTAATGCAACAAAACCAATCAGTATCAGTGGGAAAAAAATCAAAACTTTTACTTTAAGACTATCTACATTTTGTTCTTATTTGTTATTTACATTCAGATTTCATCATCTTTATTGTATGACTTGTACTTGAAGTACTTCCACTGTATTTACACTTTTACTTTAGCAAAAGATCCAGGCATTGAGTACATTTGTCATTTAAAAATGCTGAATTATAAAACAAGTTATTCACAGAGATAGATACTGTACAGTTCACGTGAAATGTGCATTTTTAAATCCAAGTTTGAACTCATGAGAAATGAGGAGGATAAACACAAGGAGACCTCAACAGAGAGAATCTGTGAAATCATAAAAATATAACCTTATTTTTCTGACCGTTAACCTTCACTAAAATAAATCAAAGATAAGAAACAAAGGGTTGGATGAGTGAAAACAGCTGTTGGCTCTTTTTGTTATTTTTCTGTAAGATCTAGTTTAGTCTATGGCTGATTTGGTTGAAATGTCATGTCTTCATGTTCATCTTCAGGTTTTATTTTCCTCTAAGTGAAAACTGTCGCAGAAATTTACCAGAACTTGTTGAAAGCAGAACAACTCACCTGAAATCAGGCAGGCTGAGATGAAGAAAAGCCAAAGTCCAGTCTGATCCATGTCCAAACCACTTTTCCCAGCTCCTGGTTGTGGTTCTGAGCTCGGTTCTTCCCCCCCTCCCCTCCACCCTGCCCAGAAGCTTCAGAGGCTCAGCTTCAGCACCGACCAGGGTCCGGTCATGTTTGCTGATGGTCCACAGACAGTCTGAGCCCGATTCATCCACCTGGACCCTCGGAGTGGTGTCACTCTGTCTTTCTGTCCTCAGAGTGTGGGAGCTGCAGCAGTGGGGGAGGCTCAGAGGGGATAAAGCAGCTTAGAGCGTGGGCAGATTATTTCAGAGATAGAGAGGCACACCCCCACCTCCACACCCACCCTCAGCCCGGGTCCGGTTCTGACCGACAAATGGGTTTTTATGTCTGTATGAGGCCTGAGCCCAGAGCCAGAAACTGATATATCTATATATATATATCTATATATATATCTATATATATATCTATATATATATATCTATATATATAT